TTGCAGAACATAAACAAAATGAACACCTAAACTATATAATTGTAAATTTTCCTTAATGGAGACAGTGATTTTGCATTTTATCATTGTGTATAAGTATCTGAGATCCATGTTATACTGTCTGACCTTCTGAAGCCATAAAAATAGCTTTCTCAACTCATCAGAAAGCATTTAGCCCACTGTAATTTGCTAGGAAGGGCCTGATCCCACAAAAACCTGAATCCACATTGCATGAGGGTTCAGATGGACACACTCCAAAATGAAGCTTGTCACTTGCAGCTGGGGAGCTCCCAGCCTGTCACAGTTTTCAGAATGGCAGAGGGGAAAGGGAGCAGAGAAAATCTGGAGTTTTTTCAGCTGGTGCTGGAGGGCACCACAGGTGGTCTGGAGCTTCCCCCCACCCCCAAGGTGGGGAGCCTCCAATCCACCCTGCCCACCCTCCAATACTAGCTAGGGAACCCCAAGAAGCAGCTCCCTCTGCTCTGCTCTCTTTTCCTCCCATCCCATTCTGAAAACAGCGTCCTGGTTGAGATGGAGGAGTGGCACTGGTATGGAAACTGAACTGCGGGCTCATGGCAAGCAGCTGGAATCCCTAACTCCCAGACCCAACAGTGAAATGCTTGCTGCGAAGCATTATGAGTCGCAGCACGGAGCTGCTGTTCTGTCTGTGTGCAAAGAGGGCATAAGAGGCCTATATACACTTACCTTGTATGCCTTCTTTGCAAAGAGCAGGAACTTGGCAGGTCCAGGAGAAGGGTGGCACTGCAGTCATGCTCCCTCTACCCTGTTAATCACCAGAGCCAAGTGACTGGAAAAGTGCATATCCCCCATTCTAAGGCATGTACATCAACTGTTCCAAAACTAGGAGAGGTAGAATTGGAACAGCTATAAATAAGGTCACAAGTCTGACTGAAATTTAATAATGGAAGTAGGGTCACAACCAAAACCAATTAAAGAACCTCTGGTACACATGTTCCCACTCCCTTACACTAAAATGCCCTAGGTGGCAATAATGCATTTTGTCACCAGATGGTAGGAGAGAGCAGATACGTATCTTTGTAGACATTTACTCTAAGCTGTTAAAGACTGACACAGTCTGGGCTCACAATATAGACACACCACTAGAATATTAACCTCTGATTCATTAAGATGCATTTCTTCTCTGGATTGGACAAAGTTGCTCTGTTTTAGGGGTTTGTGTCATCTGCCTACACCTTTTCTCCACTGGTGTAGTACTAATTAAACTGGTATAAACATTTTGTCTTTCTTGGGCCTTAATCCACATTTCGAAGCTTTTCTCTGCACCCACAAGGACCCCTGAGTTAAATTTTTCTTTAAATAAAGGTTGAGAGTCTCCTGTAGTGTCCTCATTAGAGTAGTTGGGGCTTCAAAGAAAACACCAAATATTGAGAGATGCATGTGATTTGGCAACATGACACTACCAATATATAGTGACTGTGCCCTTCTGCAAGCACCAGTAAGTGCTCAGTCATCCACTGACCACAGTTTAAGAAGGCTCACCTCTAAGTTACTGAACTTATGCCTAAGGGGACAGACAGTGCAGCTAAGAAAGCATCGTGAGTTAGACTGACCCTCCTGACCCAGTAGACATTAGCTGTTTGGTTGGCAGTGTGGGGCACCAAGCTCCAATTTGGAGTTGATCCAGAGAGAGAGAGGCTGCATCTCTGCTGCCTCTTCCCCTGCAAAGTGGAGCACCTTCATGAGCTTGTGTCTGAGCACACCTAGATCAGGGCTGGGCAGGCAGGGGAGGGAGGTCCATTCTGGGGTTTCCACAGCCTGTGCTGAAGTAGGGGACTCCAACCCACCTAACCTATCCTCCAGTGCCCACTGGGCAACCCTCAGAATGAGTTCCCTCTACTCCCTTCCCTCCTCTCCCATTCTGAAAACACTGATGGAAGCAGGGCTGAGCTGACACAAATCAGCCCTGTTCCCAGTGGGTGTATCCAGATGAGCGGGCATGTGCCTCTTGCCCCATCTCAAACCCCTTTGAGGCGGGGCAGGAGGCATGTGCAGGAATGAAAAGATGTTCCCCACGCTGCAAACTTGCAGCGCGGGAAGAAAATTAGACTCAGGTCAAACACAAACCCGGGGGAAAAAAACAGGTTAGGTGCCCTGAGGCACCTAGAGGTTCAGTCCTCTATGATTGGACCTTTCCCCACTCCTGAAGCACGCCGCCTGCCTGTGCTGGGCAGGCAGCGGTGCAAGCTGCAGGGACCCAGACCCAGCTTTTGCAGGTAAGCAGGGGGTTGGGGGGGAGGGGATGGAGAATACCTTGGGAGGCTGGAGACAGCAGGGGAATGAGCAGGGGGCTGGAGACAGCAGGGGAATGTCTCCAGGGGGGTCTCCAGCCTCCTGCTCCCCACCAAGGCTGGAGACAGCCAGGGAGGTATTCCCCTGCTGTCTCCTGCTCTGCCGAGGCTGGAGACAAGCAGGGGAAGAAGCAGGAGGCTGGAGGCAGCAGGGCAATGCCTCTGGGGTTGTCTCCAGCCCCCTGCTCATTCTCCTGCTTGTCTCCAGCCTTGGGGGATCAGGGGAAGGAGCCAGGAGGCTGGAGACAGCAGGAGAATGTCTTCAGGTCTGTCTCCAGCCCCCTGCTCATTCCCCCGCTGTCTCCAGCCTCCCGAGGACAGCTCCTTTCCAAAGTGGAAAGGATAGAGAAGAGTACCACAAATCATCATTTGAGGACAGGACAAAATGCCTTTTTAGCTCCTGAAGAGATTAATTTGTTTAGTTAATCCAAAGAAAATCACCAGATAGCTTTATTACTGTGTACAAATAGGCTCACCGAGAGAGAATACCAGGTACCAAAGAGTTCTTAAACCTAGCAGAGAAAGACATGACAAGAACCAGTAGCTGGAAGTTCAAGTAAAAAATGAAGCATACATGTTTAAAAGTGATGACAATTAACAACTGCCAAAATAATTCATTTTCTGTCTTGTAAAGTCTTTAAATCAAGACTGGATGTCTTTCTAGAAGACTTACTTTAGTCAAATACAAGTTATAGAATGAAATACAGAAAAATCTGGATGAAATTCTGTGGCCTAGATTATAGGACGTTACTCTCAATGGGTGCATCCAGACAAGTGCGCACATGCCTCTTGCCCCACCTCAAACCCCTTTGAGGTGGGGCAACAGGCACATGCGGGAACAAAAAAACATTCCCCACGCTGCAGGTTTGCAGCGCGGGGAGAAAAGTTGACCCCTGGATATCCAGGGATCAAAAAAAATTAAAAAAAAAAAGCAGGGCAGGGCATGGTCTGAGGCAACCGGAGGCTGGGTCCTCCAGGGAGATGCTTTGGCTGCCAGAGCATCTCCATGGTTGGCCCTTCACCCTGGAGCTGAAACACATGGCCGGCCAGGGCTCCAGTGATGGTGAGTAAGGGGTCAGAAGGACTGGAGGAGGGGGGAGGGGACCATGGGGGGGGACCCCCTATGGCCCCATCTGCTCCCCCAAGCCTCCCTGATCCCTGCCCAGCCTGGCCCTGCCACCCCCTGGGCCCCTGTACCACCCAGCAGCAGGGCAGCAGGACCTGGCACAATGTGCAGTCCCCACGTCATGTCGGGTCCTGCTTACCTGGGCCCGGCCCGGCCAGGGGCCCCGAGGGCTGGCAGGACCCAGCTGGGCCTGTCATGAGGGGACCGCATGCTGCGCTAGGTCCTGCCACCAAGGGCCTAGCCCAGCCAGGTGGCAGAGGGGCTCCAGGGCTGGCAGGACCCAACTGGGCCCGGCACTTGGTCCTCACATGCCATGCTGGGTCCTGCCACCAAGGGCCCAGCCCAGCCAGGTGGCAGAGGGGCACCGAAGGTGGCAGGTCCTGCCAGCAAGGGCCTGGCCCGGCAGCAGAGAAGCCCCAGGACCTGCCTGAACCTGGAATGCGGTCCCCATGTGCTGTACCAGGTCCTACCAGCAAGGGCCTGGGCCAGCGGGGCAGCAGACAGCCCCCAGGGCCAGCAGGGCCCGGCTGAGCCCAGCGCACAGTCCCCGCGTGCCATGCTTGGTCTTGCCGCCATGGCTCAGAGCTCCCCACTCCCGCTGCTGCTGCTAAAGGTAAGTTATGGGCCCTGGGGGGTCAGGGTGCCTGGGACCCTG